CATCTTGGAGCTGGATTTTCAACATCTCCATAGGAGTTGTGACAATAACCTGCAACAAAACAAAATAAAGGTGTCAAGAACAGTGTCAGCATATGCACACTGTGGACAAATCCTCATTACTTTTCCATCCATGTTAATGCAAGTAACATTAAAGTACCAAGTGTGTCAGGAAAAAAGTGTGTCCAGTGTAAATCTACTGGCTGAATGTCTAGTCTTACTTTCCTCTGGAATACACGCAGTAGTAACTAGTTAACGGGATTAAGGGTGAGATGGCCATGTTCACCACAATCTTAATCCAAGATCTGCTACACAATCTAATCACGTACACTCTGGCTGGAAGCCTTTGCCCTCATTGACAACAGGCATTTCCCTCTGACTCACTTACTCAGTGCACAAGGCCAAGCACTCTCACAACCTCTTATCTGATCACTCAAACCTAGCTGCACGGTGTGTCGCCTGCTAACGGGACAACATTTCAGTAATTAAAAATCATTCATGAAAGTGGAGCTTTACAGGTGACATTCAGATCACAGATAACAGATAATCTACAGAGACAAACTGCAAGAATGTTTCTGCAACTACCACCTCTCATTTATTAAACGAGGCAGTGGCTAATTCTAGCTGCAGGCTGTGACAAATGAGGCAATGGCTGAGGCCCAGTGGTTTGTATGCATGCTGACATTGGCAGCGCTAAAGGCAGCAGTTCCAGATGGAGAACAGGAGGATGCAATTAAAGCAGCACCTCACTCACTCACTCACCTGGCATGTACCTGCCCCACACCCAGCCAGCATCTCTTTGAGCAGAGTGAGTTTTCTGAAAGAGAAGATAAATAGCAAGATCAGAACGAGACATGCGCTAGACTGACAGTGTGAGCGGCAGACAACTTTATTTCTGCAATCCTCGAAAAGGAAGTTGTCACCACCTGCGCTGGTGACGCTAATCTTTGTCTCCCATATCGACACGTCAGGCACAAGGGTAGATTAATAATTCACAAGGTGAGCGGCTGGGCCAGACAAGTCAAACATTCATTAGGCTGCATGTTTGTCACCATAGTGATGGAGATCGATGCCCCAGAAAACTTTCAGGTTTATCTATGCAGACAGTGGGGAGGGGGGACAATGGGTGATGGATTTCAGCAACGCCAGGTGATGGTTGCTAATGTTTGACGTGTGACACCATTGCGGGCTCATTTGACTTAACGTGATTTCAGACAGGACTTCTGTTGATACACATACAAGTAATTCTGTATTTTTAAATCAGGCCGTTAACAAACTACTACGAAAGGCTCTGTGGCATCGGAGGAGATGACAGAACGGTGGAGGATTAAATAGAGGATTGGTGAGAATACAGACAGCTAATGTGTTTGGTTACATGTTAGTAAACACGGCCGTTAATCACAGTGTGGATGAAGGGAGAGGTTGTGTGTGTCAGTCAGCCTGTCAGCACTTTCATGCCTCACCCATCCTTGGAGAGGTGATGCCGGAAGAAGTCGTTGGCAGCCAATTTGATGGCTTTCTCTGGCGTGACTAGTGTTAAGTTCACCGCGGCTCCTGGGAGGATTAAAAGGACAGAGAGCAAGAAAGAGAGAGGCAACAAAGAAGGAAATGACAGAGAAGGGAGAGAGAGAATGAGGCAGTCTATAGTGGAAGATTCTTCCAGAAAATTGCCTGTACCGGTGAGGCACAGATCCCTGTTTTAATGCCTCTAGCCTCACTTTGAAGCTGAAAATAAGAATCCTATGCAACCTAACAGTTTTTTTAATTGGTCTGACACTTCAGTGAGCTCATACATCACAAGAACCTTCTTGATAAAATTGAAAACTTACCTCGGTACATCCCAAAATAACCTTCTGACCGGATGGTCTTAATAAGGCAATCTGACCTGCAACACAAATGCAACAGTTGTGGTGTGTTAGTCAAAGTGCAACCTAGAAATCTGATGACAGTCTGGGCGATACTACCGATGAGTATTGACTATAGCCCAAAAACAAGAAGTTTAAGACTGTAAAATATATGTAAATATATATAAATATGACAAAGTCAGATACAGAAACTTCATACATGCTGGTGTAAAGGCGAGATCCATTTTGCTGATTTTGCAAGCGAGTCTTGGCCAGGTCAATGGGAAACACACAGGTCACTCCAATCAGGCCAGCGACACCCCCATTGATCAATTTGGCAGGCAAACTGGATGAAGGTGATGACCATAGAGGAAAAGACAAAAATATCAAACATGAAAGGTCAGTAGATGATATCAAGGCCACAGTGCTTCTGTGTTACAGACCTTTGTAGTCTTCTCACATTCAGCTTTACCTGATCTGCTTGTCAGCCATTTATGTCAAGCCCCGGCTGGTCCAAGTGTCAGTCTGTCTGTTAGCTAGTCACTCGATGGTCGTCCTTGCTCTTGCTGTTTGCTGCAGTAGTGTGTTGCTGTCCAAGTAAGATTATGTAGTCTGACTAGGCCTTGTCCTCTTGTCTCCTTGCAATTGTTGTTAGTTCAAGTTATCAGGGGATATCTGTAAAGAAACAGGAGAAGACCTGTTCACATTAAACACTCTCGTAAAGTGCCTATTAAGTTCCAAGAAAACAGATCAGTACATTTCATAAGTTGTACTGAAGCAATGTTTCCTTCAAAAACATTACAACATAGATTTGCTTTTAGTAGCAAGCTGTTGCACCACCTAACATACAGCAGAAACTGCCAAATACTAGTTTTAACCCAACAAAATCAGTCAATTAGAGCAGCAACTGATTGCTTTCATTATCAATAATTAATCATTTGGTCTATAAAATCACAATTTATTTAAGCCCAAGGTGGTGTAATTAACTCGCTTGTCTTGTTACATTACGTTCATTTGACACTTCTGTCCTGGGAGACACAGGTCATGAAATCCAAAAATCCAGTGCAGTCAAAAAAGCTTTGACAGAACTGACTGACTGAATGAATGTCCATGTTAAATTTTAAAAATGCATATTTTTCTATTCATTTCAACCCTTTGTGTTTTTCTCACCCAAAATTAAGCTTTTCCAAAATGTTCTCTCTAGAGCGGGTGAATCCTAAAACGCTGGCTTGGTATTTTTCCATAGAGGATTTGCAAAACTGTTGCAGTATGACAGTAAGAAGAACTTTCTGACTCTTCTCCCAGGTGTGCTGTGGACCAAACCAAATACAGCCCTCAGTTACAGGTGGGGTTGCAGGTCGCCAGCATTAAAGTTTGGGTAGACAGGTTATTTCAGAAGCATTTTTTGTTATATTTCTCTTGAAATCCTGACAATCTACAAAATAAATTGCTCTGACACAAAAATGAAAAACATCTGGTATCTGTGGCTGTCACAGGACTGTAATAAGCACAGCAAATCATTTCATTTGGTCTGAGGGAGGCCTGAAGGGAGAGGGTGGGGTTTTGTCTATGAGATCATTCTATAATCTACCTGTCCCTTGCTAGTTCTCCAACGTTGCCTATCCCAGCTTTAAGTCTTGGGGGACTCTCTGTCCACTGTATGCTAAAACTATTTCTGAGCAAACAGATAAAATACATCTGGAGCAGCCAAGATGCTCCCTATTTTTGGTAAAGAATGCCCTCAGTGTGAAAAGATGCTTCCCATTTCCCCTTTCCTACTCTCCACCCCCTTCATCCACCAATCACAACCTGCCTCTGTGTGTGCAACCCGCCTCCACCTTTCTCCTCCTCACCAGCCCTCCCCCATCATTTCCCTCAGTCACAAGTCACGACTCTCAAACTCAGCTTTTCCCTCTCAGATCTATGCTGACTTGTGGGTTTCTTTGTGCGCCAGTATCACGCATTCCTCAGACTCCGTTTCAGAGAGACTGCACAGCATGCGTGGATGTTTAGGGTTTCAGTAACTGTATTTTGGCATGGAAGCAGCTGTGGTCTGGTGTGTTTAGTTTGGACAGGGACTTGAGGCCCACGCAGGCTGCTCCAGAGGTGGAGGAGGGAGGAAAGGGGGTTTTCAGAGCAAGCCAGCGAGCCGCTTCTCTGGTCTCTGTTTGCTAGGTTTTCTCCTCTCTGTTCCTCTGAAGCCTCACATAGCCTCCTTCACAGCCCTCCTCCACCGCTCATCTCCCTTTAACAGTTCATCAACTTCACCATTTTCTCACCCAGCAGTGATATGAAGCCCACCTTCTCACTTTACTGCATGCTACTTTTGTTTCCTTATTTCCTGTCACAGACTTCCTCTTGGAAATGTAGTTAACTCCACAGTCAGCACACTGATTTCTTTCTTTCTCACCACTATTTAAAGAAGCATATATGTTCTGTTCAGTAATAGGACCTGACGAGAAAATACATGGGTTGTAAAGAGCATTGCAGTCTTGCATGAGTCAGCCATTAAGCTGGCATCTCGCTCCTTCTTTACAATGCCTGCGGCATTACTCGTCCATTTCATTTCATCCACACCATGCAACCGTGTCTGCACCAGGACATTTATTTGACCCACAGCCACAGCCTGGCTTGTCTTGTCATGACAATTGGAGTCTGTATGGAAAGAACTGGCCTCAAGTGTGTTCACAGCACAGATGCATCACTCATCTCCAAGGAATTCCTTTTATTCTCACAGCACAAAAATAAATAAATAAATAAATAAATGACAACCTGTCCAGACTCCACATCCCAACATCACTTTAAAGCATGCAAAGGACTGCAAAGTCATTTTTCAATTCACCAAACAATTAAACAATAAAGTTACTTAATTATATAATAAATAGGATAAAACTTTTTTTAAACTGAGTAAAAACTTTAAATTAAACTAGCCAACCACAAATGACTTCAAACATATCTCTCTTATGCGCACACACACACACACACACACAAACACACACAACACACACAAATATCCACATGGAGGTCATATTTTGAGTTTGTACCTCTAGAGCAGATAAGCACTGATGAGTAAACAATAGTCATGATGATTGTGCAACTTGGCTGCCATGCAGAACATTTAACTCACAGCTCAACCCCTCAACCCAGGCCCCTAAACTCACTATTGGACGCGCTTGATTAAAGAGATACTAAAGAGTCCTGGCATCAACTGAGACAGATAACAGCTCTGCTTTTGACCCTTGTTCATCCTTTCAACTTGAACAACCGAGGCAATAAACACTGCTTTACAGACGAGGACACTGATAAGTTATGTTCACCCTTGTCAGTAAAGCAGCGTTCAAACTCCTGTCGCTGGAAGGTAAGGTAATTACATTTTTTTTTAAAAACATGTTTTAACTTAAAATATGAAATTACAAGTTCAAAGATCAATGTTTAAAGTGAATTGCTTTAACTTTATCTAAGTATTGTATGTAATGATCCAGTTCATGTAATCCTGCAAAGGTGGGAAAGAGGGTGTCAGCGCACAGATTTACATCCCATTTATGAATGACACTAAATGTTATAAGAAGTGCAATAATGTAAGAGAATAATGTATCAAGCACAGGGACAATTATCATAAATAGGATATTTGACTTAAGTATTTTGACTCACCTGAAAAGTCAGTTGATTATTATGTTATAAAGGTATTATGTAGTAGAATACCGTACACATGCTCTTAAATCTGTCTGGAATTAGCTTCAATACAACTTCTTCAGTACAAGATCAAGTGAATTTTTGGACAATTTAGATGTAGATTTTTGTAGCCTTTTTCCACTTCTTTTAATATATTTTTTCTTCATAAAAGCACTACATTCAAGAAGACGAGAAGCTTTTATTTCCAAAAATACAAAACAGTATGTATGTTGGAGGTGCATTAAAAAGCTGGATCAGTGCTAGTATAATTAAGAAATTATGTGGGAACAGCTAGACTTCGCTTCGACTAAAATGTTCCAAGACAAGTCTCAAAAGCCTTCCAAAAAGATAAATATAACCCTGCAGTAACTGAAAATGCACACCAGTTAATTCCCTATAAAAATTCAATGCAAATTGTATACATTTCATTCAAATCAAACAGAGAAAGTTTTACCTTATCTGTTACAGCTCCTTGACTAGCTCTCTGTCCATGAGCGCCATACAGAGTAAAGGTCTTGCTGACTAAATGACAGTGACTTTGGTGAATGACAGGAGGAAGTGAACGGCTACATTGTTGAAGCACCCTGCTAGTAAGCAGCACTCTACTCACGTGACTGTGGCTGGTGAAAAAGAAATGGAAATCACATGGGTCTTCCTCATTAGCATTGGGAAGGCTGTTGTTACCAGTCCATCTGTCTCACATGGTCACTGGTTTGATCAACAGAGGAGCTGCATGGCGTACTGTTGCAGACACAAGTGTGTTCCTGCAATCCTCTATCAGTGTAAGTACTTCTCTAAGCTGCAAAAGCACCAAATCTAATATACAACTCAATCTGTCCACTTTTACATTCCTTCTGGAGCCATTATATTCTAGTATTAAAAGTATTAATTTGTGGGTATTATTTAAGACAGTATGGGCTAGTATTATATGACGTTTTTCTAGCTCGATATTGCACTTATTAACTTACTAATTTCAATTATTTCTAAAAGGATTGGGTTTTAAATAGTTCTCTGCAATGACATATATATTTCTGCTGTTTTTCTATAATAAAACTGACAGCTACTATGGTGGTGTTATCATGCCTTTTTTCAACTACTGGTTTATAAGATGCACTCTATTTTTGGAAGTCTACAGCAATGTACAAACAAGAGGTGGAATTTGTGGTGTCACAGATAAATCTGATTACTACTTCCTCTACCCTACAGCATCAGGATTATAAACCTAATGCCTACTTATGAAAGCTCTCTCCTGCACTGAGTTCATATTGCAGCCATTAAACCTGCACAGTAATGTATTGTTGTAATCACCGGCTGTAGATCAGAAAAAACAAGCCGAGTTCAACTTTCAGGCAGAAATAAAAAGTCCCTTCAGTGCAGAGAGGTGGTGTTGTGTTTAATCCCTCCTCTGACACCACTGGTATCCTTGGTGCCCCAGTTTCTAAAGTCACCTGGGGGTTTTCTCATGCATCTCCTGTTTTGCCTCCCTCTCAGCTTTCCAACATCCTTGATAGGAAAATAGTGATACCTTTGTGAGTGGACTCTTCTTGGAATGAAAGCCAAATGCAGCATTGAAGCATCTGATTACAGTCTGCAGATTGCAGTGCGGCCTTGAATGTCGTGGAGGACTGTAACTTTCACACAGCAGCACAGCATCTTCTTACAAGCACGGCTATGCATCATTCGGCGTGCATTCACCAGTGACATTTGGAAGTCCTTGCCTCTAGGATTTTAGCATGCTTTCAGGGAACGCCATATGCGTGTGGTCCTGCATGCAGATTAAATTAACACTATGTTGCTGTTTTTTACCGAACAACATTACATTGGTATTACAGCCAAAAAGGTACAATAGATCCATTGGAAAGCTTGCGATGTCAACCTACACCCAAGAATGGCTTGCCTCATTAATTATTTCAAGGCTGCACGAATGCTTTACTACATAGGGCTTGACCTCCTCATAACCTTACCAATGCACTGCTACCTCTGTGGAGGGGGTCTTTTAAAAGCATGCATTGCTGTAAGTTTGCACGTCCTCTTGGCATCTTGCTCAGCAGTTAAATGTTCCCATAAGTGTTCTTTTGGGGAGTTTGGGGCCTAAGCATAGATGAGGGGGGAAACAGAATAAGCAAGGTGGGTGAAATAGAAGTGGCCTTTTACCATTTAACCATTCAACTGAAATAACCAACTAACGTTATATGCAGTACTGTATGTTTCAATTCCACCATAGGATAAAATCATTTTGTAAATAGGGTATATTAATAAACATACTATATAAAATGTACAAACACAGCCTATTCAGGGGGTAACAGAATAAGCAAGGTGGGTTAAAGAGAAATGGCCTCCGGATGGCAAGACATTAACGTTAATGAGGAATCATTCTATTGAAAAACTATCGCGGCTTCCTTTCATCCTGTGTTAAGAAGTTTCAGTATGTTAATGTTTAGCTAGCCTGCCTGTCAGAGGTGAGTAGCTTCACTTTTCTCTCCCAGTGAGAAAAGGAGGTGGGTAAAGTGGGTTTACCCTACACTACCAACATCCCTGCCCACATTTTAATTAATTAACGATACACCCTCACTAGCGTTACAGAGCGGCAGAGGGCGGCCGCCGTGGCCGCTTGCAGGTCGGAGAGAAATTCGGTCATTGGTCCGGTTCCTCAATGGTAACATCCACAACCTAAATAAGCAAAATAAATCCATACATACCTTGAAACTTGGGATAAAACGTTTGCCTGTAACACGTTAATGAATATCCGTTAACGTTACACTCGTGCTCTACGGCTCGTCCGTTTTATGGGTAAAATATGACAAGCGCATTAACCGGCATATTAAAAGCCGTAACCGTTATTATTCATAACGATTATGCCATAGTAGCTTAACGTTACATTTAAACATCAAAAGGATTTACAGTTAACGTTAGACCTACCGTTAATATTGAACCCACCATATGTTTAACATGCTAGGTTGGCCACATAACGGAAAATGATATAACGTTAACGTTACTGCCTCTCATAACGAACCGACAACCCCACATACAGTCACATCCCGATGTGAAAAAACGTTACAACTAGCTAGCTTTTCGTGTCGCGTTTTCTCCATTATTTTTAAATTGTACATTTAGCTTTCACGTTATTATATTATTACCAGGTGAGATTTTTAAACGGGTGCACACATTTTCTGAATCAGCCACCCGCCAACCAACAACGCTTTAACTGCATCCCGTTATCTACATACCACATAGAGCCGTTTCCGTTATCTCTCCCGGTGTGGTTGTGGTGTGAAATCAAAGCCTTTATACTTTATCTTTGGCTGACAGACCGACAATAGCTAACCTGCCGGTGTTACTAGCATTTAACTCCAGTGGAGGGAGGTAGAGGAGGTGGGAGTGAAAGCGGGGGGGGGGGTAGAGTAGGACTCGAATAATAAAAATAAAAAAAACAGAAAAGGGATTTAAAAGGGCCCTCTAGTGGTAGAAGTACGGACACATATTTTATTTGTAGTGTAGGTTTAGGGGTGGGGGATGGGGGCCGGCGTCATCGTGACGACTCATCTCAACCAGATGACCTTGAACACCAAAATAGAAAAATGTTGAAATGTTGGGGATGAGGAGCAGCCATACAGTCTATGGGAGCAGCATGCAGCAACAAACGTGTTTAAAACAACCAGTGACTCACCACAGAGGAAGCAGAAAGCTTCACACATAGGTGACATTTCTTTATCTCAAGGTTTTACTACAAATAGATAAATAAAAAAAGCATACATACATTTAAAAATGTGCTGATATGCTTGAGATTGTGCTGCAGCCACGTTGGTTTCTAGGTGACCAAAGGCACACAAGGAGGAAATTTAATCAACCATAAAAATGGCCTCCTCTTGCACTTTCAGGAAGTGAACCAGGCAGCTCCCAGGGCTCTGCCTCTTAATGCTGTCCTGAACAGGTAATAGTGACTTCAGTAGACTCATTAAGACTCATGGTAAGTCAAAATAATGGAGGTACGAAGTCAAACCTATAAGATACTAAGTCAATAGTTGTGACTTACTATAAACCAAGATTTTGACATAGTGTACATTATGAGATGCTGACTCATTTATGAGATGTTGCTGTAATTTAAAATTGAGGTAGTAAATCAACATTATGACATACTAAGTACATTTGAGTATCCCAAAATTTTAACTTACCATGAGTATTTTCATCATATATAACATATAATTTCTTCCCTTTACCCGTCTTGCATACTGAGACATATTTTAAAAAGTGGAAAACACAAGCCACAGGCTCTTCTTGCAGTTAATCCTTTTCACCTTTCTTCTGTAGGTCTTTTGAAAGGTGCCACCAGCTGGTAGCTGGCTATCATGATTGTGTTGCAAGATTTTCTGTACTCCAGCACAGTTGTTTAGACAGCAGGATGAGATGACGGGGGCACATCATAAACAAACAGGTTATTCAAGTGTAAGTCAGCATCTGCACCCAGCGTGGGTTTATCTACTGCTGGGTTTCACTGAGGGAGGAGCTCTCTGCTTCCAGGCCCACTCTCCTCAGTGACTCCGAGTACTTTCTCCTTCCTATACTGACAATGTCCTCAATTTCATCTGCCAGGTCTCTCCTGCTGCTCTCTATCATAGCAGCCACCAGCCTCGACACTGCTCCTGGTCCTGCGTGCCTCTGTCCACGGGCCCAGAGGAAGAGCATGTCCAGCACCAAGGCTCCCAGGTTGTCCCTGGTCAGGAGAGCAGAATATACACAAGAAATTTTACATCAGCTGAACTGAACATTAACAAACATACTATATGAAATTTGCAAACAGTCTATTCGTGTGTTAGTATTATATTCTCCATGCAGTTGGAAGATAAACCATGTATACATTATAGATAAGTATTAATCAAATCTTGGAGCTTAAGCTATGCACCACTTGTTTCCAAAGGAAAACGTTTATTGGACAACTTCCATATAATACACAAAACATTAAAATGGCATGTTATGACTTCTTATTAAACAGGAAACCATGTATGTATACTTTTACGTAATGAATTTTTCTTCCACCTCCCTGTGTCATGACAGGTTTTGTGAGCCTGACTACTGAGTGTGTGTCTGTGTGTGTGTGTGGGGGGGAGCATCAGTCTGTGTGTAATCTCCTGCAGTGTCCCAGATGGCTTAGTGATGGCTGTGCAGATTAAAACAATCAAAATTCTCTACCATTTCTCTCCTTCGGTCACATTGCATCTCACTCTATCCTGTTCCCTTTGAGGCTTTGGCTGTGCTAACACGCAAGCACTGGTTACATCATTCATGCTTTAAACAGAAAATGTACATTTTCATCTTTATTCTTTCTCTCATGTTTATACATTTTACTCCCTCTAGATTATGTATATTAAACCGGTCTGGCTGAGATAATGTTGGTATTCTCTAATAGGTTTATTTTTATTTTCTCATTATAATTTAGCTCTGCTTTCATATGAATGTGCACCTAACCTCTTAAACTCTATAACGGTTCATGTTTCATAGTAGTTGAAACACCCACAATACTTTCAGTTCTAGGCAAGATGTCAAAGTTTCCAAAGACATTCCAAATATTTTGTAGTGTTACATTTTGGCAATGTGGCATCTCAGTCTTGGCCTGAAAGGACCAGTGTGTAAGACTTAGGGGGATATTGGCAGAAATAGAAATGGAATATAATATTCAGAATTATGTTTTCATTAGTGTATATAAGTGTATATTTCAATAGTGTAAATAAGAATCGTGTTTTTGTTACCTTAGAACAAGCTCTTTATAGCCCTTTATGTATCTAAAAAGGGAGGGGGTCCTCTTCCAAGAAGTTCGCCATGTTGCACCACCATGTTTCTATAGTAGCCCAGAACAGACACACCAAGCATTGGCTCTAGAGAGGGCCTTTTGCTTTTTTTGTGACTCTAGTGGCCTCCTGAGTTTCTCCTACACGTTTGGAACGGGAGGGTAAAGGTAAGGGTTATCAGTTGGTTGCAATCTGCAACCTCATCACTGGATGCCACTAAATCCTACGCACCGGTCCTTTAAAATAAACGTATAACTGTGCTGAATTTAGATCTAAAAAGCAAGTATAGGACAGCTTGTAAAACCAGTTAGTAAATCAGAAAATATCATGACCTGTGAATTACTGATACTGTTTTACTGAATTTTGGCTAAACATGATGCAGTATGTAATTCCTACCTGTACTTGTACTGGATGCGGTCCAACTCCTGGTAGCTTAAGCCAAGATTGATGCCAATAACACGCCAGTCCTGTCCTATCTGAAGAGAGATGGACAGCAGGTTGGCTTCTGTCAGGTAGCCGCTCTCGGGGTCACCAAGGTTCAGAGGAGGATGCTGGAGCTCTTCCATGATGAAATTATTTTCTGAGTTTAGAGCCTATGACAAAAACAGAGAGGAAATAATACGTGCAGTGTTTCACTCAGGTTTTTATGTTATTTGCAAATAACAGCTAACAAGCATTATTTTGTTACTTTAGTTGGAAGAAATAAGCATCTAGTTTAGATGCTAAATAATAGTGTGTATAGGAGGAACACTGGACATTTACATTTCTAACCAATATAGTCATGTTCAAATATTATAAGGATACATCCAATATTTTAACAGGTTCATATGAATTCATTTACTATCCAGAAATACAAAAATATGAAATATATTACATGAAATAAGGAAAACAAGTATGTCACTTCAACTGACAGGAAGTCTTAACGGCAGAGTTGCAAGCCACTGGCTGTCAGGTCCTTTCCTCTTTCTCGCCACTTCCTCTGGCAGATTGCTGGGAATCTCCCCTCTATAAAAAGACACCTGTAACAGACGTCCAAAACATATTTTCAATGTGTTGTCCAAACCATGCTTACAGACTGATTCCTGGGACAAAACAACAAGTGCATTTCTAACTGGCACTAACGGGCAGCCACGGTGAACTGGTACACGTTACAATGAGTAACAACAAAGGTAGAAACATCCATACAATGTTTGTATGTGTTTGTATGTGTGTGAATGTGTTTGACCTGTTTTTTATATGTTCTATGGTTTTCACTCAATTCTATAACACATTTTGAGGCTGTACTTCTCAGTATTAACTCTTTAACATAATATACATATGACGTACAGACAGGAAACACAGCAGAAATAATTATTTCCAGTCAAGGCACTTCCTTGTCTGTTGAATACGATGTGTGTCTTACTTGTCCCCTCACAGGCCCCTTCTGACCCTGAGCTGGACAGATGTATACTTCCTTCAGATTCTTCAGGCTGGAGTAAAACACAAAACACAGTCTTCCCTCCGTACAGTCTGGTCTCTCTGGAGAAAACAGGAAAATACTTCTTACAAATAGCTCTTTAAGGACAATTATTACACAACAGCACCTCATGAGACCTTGGAAGGAAAGGGAGCGGGGGGAAAAAACTGTTTATTTAAGATAGAGCCGCAAAGAGGACTTCAGACCTGTGCTGATATCTAAGCCCCTCTCAAAGCCGGCGAAGAACTGCTCTCCTTCCAACAGGTCACACAGGTCTGAAGGCTGAGGTCCTTCATATTGCTCTGACAAAGACTGTACTCTGCCGTCCACCTGGGTGAGGATGCAACACAATCACTGTTCGGTATTTATGCAGAAAAGTTACAATGGAAAACACCCATGATGAAGTCCATTTGAATCACACAGAGCCGACACCCTAAAGCAGAGGCTGAGAGAAGAGGGCTGATATACAGATGATTCTTGGTGTAAGAAGTTATTTTAAACTACAGCATAGAGAGGAGAATTACAAACCTTGTTAGAAGGTAAACACTGTAGCATAACTTGTGAGGGGTCAGTCTTCCGCTGGAGGACGAGGAACTGGACTTTAAACTGTTTCAGCCTCTGATAGACCTTCCTGACCACCCCACTAACACAGCGCTGAGTGGTGTACCACAGCCAGTACCTGTGATGATGCACAGAGGGATGTATTAATACAATTTAAAGATATAAATCAAACATACATAAGGAGAATATATTATAAAAACTTACCAGGAAAAATGTGTGACGTAGAAAATGGCATACAAATGGGTGACGTAGAGGGACACTTGCGATGTAATGTCAGTCCAGGTTTGGGCGCTGGGGTCTCCATGTAGCAGATGCAAACATGACATATCAACTGTATGGCCTGCAGAATCTCCAGACATGTTAATACATGCTAATACATTCTGTTATAAACATGTATGAAGGTATAGGTATACGGCGTATTTCACCTGTTACTCCTGAAGGCAGAGGGACCTGAACTTTGATAGGCTGCAGGAAATCTATGCTGGGAGTCTGAGAGAGGCAAAGGAGAGGGCTAACGCTGGCCTGAGGATCACCACACAGTGCCTGTACCTCTGACACAGATACCTGCAGCACCTACAGAAAGAGAGACAAACTAAAACCTTCCACAGATACCGCAGTGACAAACTTCCATAAACTGTAGTGCTACCTGTAAAGTTATAGTTCGGGTCTGCGTGGTTGAGTCTGGAGGGAAGTGGAGCTTAATTCCCGGGTCAGAGCTGGACACCAGCAGGGCTCCAGTTGGTGTAACAGAGCAACTGTCCTTTATTGGCCGGGACACTGCCATAAACCAGGAGAATTGTCTCACTGCGCAGCAGGCCAGCTACAGGTGTATCAAGAGGTCATTTTTTAGCACTAAATTTATAATTTGCACAACCAAGACAAAAATAAAGCTTGAATACAACTGTAATAAAATGATTTTACAGTGGGAGGTTTTATACTTTACCCTGGCAGGACGTCCACCAGGGTGACTGCTATGGCTCTCGCTTCCTCTCCTCAGAACAGTGGGCAGAGTGCTCCACGACTGTCCGTCAAACCTCTGCACCACCACCTCCCTTCTTTTTTTCCGACGGTACGGCACACACACCTCCACAGGCTGTAAAGATTTCAGAGTTGAAGTACACTTCAAGTACACGTCACGCAGGTGCAGGAAAAATGGAACAAGAATAACTTGCGAAGGATCAAAACAAAAAAGTTCAAGATTCTGTATGTTTTCACAATTTTGCACTTCCATAAAATTAAGGGACTTCTGAGAGCCAGATTTAAAAATAAATTATCAAAATCTGTGCAGCAGAGGCAGAGATATCCTGACTTTTAGTCTCTGTTGGGTAAAGTTCCAAAAACACTGAATCCTGCATTTCCCAAAAGGGAACTTGATAGCATTTCCTTTAGATCATCCCTACCTGGTAAAAGCCCGCACCTCTTAAACTCCACATCTTCTGTAGATGTATGTAATGCTATTGATTTGTATCTAAGACCAAGATGAGATAACCCTAATGACATCACCATGACATCATCAGGGTTATTTTTTCTTGCCAACACTCCTTTAGACACTATACAACAGTTTTTCCCATCTCTCATCATACAACGGATTTTCAAGTGTAAAACCGGTGTCCCTGTGAAAGTTGTACTTAAATCCCCGCCCCCAACCCTTCCTATATTTTATACCTTTAGAAAGGTAATTCCATGAGGACGAAGTTCCAGTGGACGACTCAGTAAGATGTCGTGCTCCTCCAGCCACACCCACTTTCTCTCTGGCCTTTTCTCAACCCACTCCAGTCTTTTGGCTGTCACCAGGCACCCCGGGGGGAAAAGCAGCTCAGCCCCCCCTGGGAGAAACACATGACACCCAGCAGACGAAACACAGAAACTAAGGAGCAAAAGGAGCATCTTTAACCTTAACCTAGTCAGAAACACCTTAATTGACAACATTACTGCAGAGACTAAGAAAATATTCCCGTGCTGAAAGTGACACTGTACCTGTGCTGATTAAATCCGAGGTGTAGCTCTGGAATTTTTCTTTCTGCCTGTTCTGGTAAAGAAACAGCGATGCAACAGAGTGAATATGCTGACAGCAAATGTAACCACTGTATTAGAGCTGCAACGATTAATCTAATAATCGATTAGTTAAATTAAATGAATCGCAAAGTATTACGATAATTGATTAATGTTTGAGTCATTTTTCTGGAAAAAAATATCTGATTCGAGCTTCTTAAATATGAATATTTTCTAGGCCTGGGTGATATGGAAAAATTTTATACAATTCAATATCGATAGGTATAACGATAAATGTCAAATAATTATTCTTTTTCAAGTTTCAAGGCTGAGTTTTGCTTCTGAGTGAAAGTTGAAGAAACCAGATGGTTAATTGTGGTTTTAAACTATTCTTTATGGTCAGACATGACAAACAGTGGATGATTTAACAAATCTGAGATAGAACAGTCAAAACATTTTATGATAAAATCTTTTTTCAACAAATATACATGAGTAAAATTAAGTAAAATCTTTTTTCAATCTCTTTTCCTCAACAAAATAAATATCTTAATAGAAAACTTAAGTGCTAATTCCTTTTTGATCCAAATGAATTATATCAAATGTTTATTGAACATTTGTTATATTGCTATTGAGGAAAATTATATCACAATAATTCTCATTGTTTTATTGCCCAGCCCTAATATTTTCTGGTTTCATAACTCCTCTGTGACAGTAAACTGAATATATTTGGTTTGTGGACATAACAAGACATTTGAGGACGTCATCTTGGGATTTTGGAAACACTGATTGACATTTTTCACAATTTCTTCCCCTTTTCACAATTTCTTCCCTTTTTTTTTCACTGCTCACCAGGTGTAGGAGGGAGAGGAGGAGGGGTTGGGGGTTGTCCCAAAGGATTGTCACGCACATCTATTTTCAGCAGAGGCAGTTTGTTCAGACCATTTGGGATCAGGCGGAGGTCATTGCTGTAGATGACAAGCTCCCTGAGGGAGAGGAGAGAGCCTGGGCAACAAAGAACATGAGGGTTACATCTTTTCTTTTATTGCTGGATTCATGAATTTTACTCACATGAAACAAAATGAGTCCTCCAGTTGATTACTGTAAAGGTCTTTCACTGACACACCCTCTCACCCTTACACTCTTACCCATGCTCTCTGGCAGCTGCTTCAGCTTGTTGTGGCACAACTCCAGCTTAACAAGCTCCTCCAGAGAACCAATTTCATCAGGTAGTTGCTGAAGGAGGTTATGTGATATATCCAGCGTCTGTAGGGCTTTCAGCTGACCCAGACTCGGGGGAAGAGAGACCAGCTCGTTCCCAAGGAGGGAGAGGTAGGTGAGGGAGGACAGCTGGCCTATGTCAGGAGGCAAAGCTGAGAGGTGGTTGTGACAGAGGAGCAAAGAAGACAACACGGGCAAGCTGAGAAGGCAGGATGGCAGACAGGAGAGCTGGTTGAAGGAGAGATCCAGGTGCACCAGATGAGAAAGTGAGGAAACAGATGTGGGCAAAGTGGTGAGCAGGCCAGGCAGCGGGTCACCTTGCGAGTCATGAAAACGGTGTCCTTGAATTACACAGAATAGTGTAGTTAGAAGCCAAAATATTGGAGCAAAGCAAGGAAAAACACATCCAGATTATAAAGTACCTTTGTATCTAAACATTTTGCCAACAAGCAGCTAAAACAATGGGAAACTGATCAGAAAAGTACCCCGAATAGTCAGTGAGCGCAGCTCTGTTAGATGGGGTAGGACATCCAGTGCGCCATCCAGGCCTGGTTTATCCTCAGAGCCCAGTGTCAGGTACCGGAGGCCCCTCAGCTGCCCTGGGATGGACCCCCAAAGCAGTGGCAGTACAGCTGCTCCTCCCAAGTAAACATCCAGGGTCAGCTTTGTATTAGTCAACACAGCTGAGAGCTCCACAGAGGGAGGCAAGGGTGGAGTCAGAGACAGGGTGGGCGAGGAGGAGGATGAGGAAGAAAAATCGGCATGATGATGCATGGAGGAGTAAGAGGAGGGGAGGGTTGATATGGAAGGACCACAGGTGTCCATGAGGCTGGAGGGAGACACGGAGGAAGCCTCCCTCTCTGGCTCAACAACTTCTGTTTGGCCATCAGACATTACTGGTCCAGTCTCCCTCTCTGACTGCTCCTGATCCTGGTGCACAAGTCCTCTCCAGAGCCTCAGAGCCAAAATGTCTGTAGAACGGTCTGCAGCTCCACCTTGGGATGTTGTCTTTAATGGATTGCATGCAGATGTCACTTCTACTTCTTCAGCCTCAGACCTGCCTGGCTTCAAAATCCAACCGGCTGCCAGGTCTCCATCCTCATCATCAGGACCTGCTGCCCCCTCCTCGCTGCTTCTCTCCATTGAAGCCACTGTTCATAACACTAGACAGCTCCCCAACAGTTGCCCATTAGTTAAATACTGGCCCGAGGTTTTCTTTCTGCATCATGACACGACTGGATACGTTCATTGTCATTAAAGCCAGATGGAGCTAAATGACAGCCATGACAGGCGACGAGGAGCGTTTTACTTGACATGTTTGCTAGTGTAACATGGATGTTACAGTGACGTTAACGTTAGCTATTTACGTAAATGTTGGCTAAAACAACATATCTAATGGCCTTCGTGCCTACATTAGTGACCTTTATGAGTCGTTTCTATTGTTACTTACTAGCTAATGAACGGTTATTTACTTAGTAATGTGTAATATTAGTCTCTGGGTTAACCTGCTTCTCCAATCCGCCCTGTATCTCGATCCCACTCTGCTTACTTTTACTTCCTCATGTCCGCTAATGTTTTTAAAGAAAAGGCTTTCCGTCACAGTGGCTCGTTCGTTTTCTGCTACGTCGCCCACCGACGGACGACGGGAGGAGTCTATCCGCCAGTATCGATTTATAATTAAGGAGCCCCGCCTCTCCGGGTGTTGCTGTATTCTAAACCGACCGCCTCGATGAATGCGCCGCCAAAGTTTCAACTCAGGGCGGGACAGTTGTGTCAACGTGTGCGCTCGCTGTCAGTGTCATTCCCTGCTCAGCCACCCGGCGGCGCTGTTTAGCTTTGAGGTGGTACTGACCTCTGTAGTACTGACACCACGGACTGCATAGAGACTGTCACACAAACAACACACAATACATAAATTGTTTGCACGTGACCCGCTGTAAACATTTCTAATTATATTAATTAAAATGGCATTTAGAGTGTAACCCAGGAGCAGCAGTTGTAACAGTGCTTGTTTTTGTTGTTTTCGATTAAAGCAAGGCTCTTTTTATTGTTTAAAACAGAAAATTCATCCTTCATCCTCTAACAAAATCACATTTCATCTGTTGTTGCTGGTTTTACTGTTTCACTTGCTTTAATGTATTTTATGTATCATTAGGATTGTTTCACCTTTTGTTATTGTGTGTAATGTAGCCTTCTGGTTTTATTCTAAAGTGTATCTTGAAAATCGTTATATAAATAAAATGTGTTCTTATTCTTATTATTCTTATCATTATTATTATCCTACACCAAATACGTCTTTTCTTTTAGAAACACGTGAGTGTAACAACAACACTCTTTATTCAGAAGCATTTTTTAAACTTTCAATAATTAATTAATTGTTTAAAGACGAATTTTTAAAATATTTTTTATTTCAATCTTATAATGCATCATTTGTCTTTAGATTAAAGTAAGATTTCAAAAAAAAATCACTGCATGTTTTCATGTCATGCTTCTTCAAAAAAGTGTTATACATTTTGGGTTTATCTGATGACCCACTCGTGATCCATCGGTACAAAATGCACTGCATATTGGTTAAGAAACTGTGTCAAAAGTTCATCTCTGTTGTGGAAACCGTTTATTTATGTTGGAGAAGAATTTGTCCTGTGCACTGTGCCAAAGGGAGACAGTGGTTCAGGGAGCTAGCCTATTTGTGTTCAATAACAACATTCTCCCTCCCAAACCTCCCAGTGCATCGGTCATCATCTGGTCAGACACATATCTATCACCTTCTGAGTCACTTTTCTTTGAACTCGGCCAGAATTACTTATCTTATGGTACACTTTATAGAGCAGAGATAACTTTTTTTTAGACAAATGACCCCTAGCTGGTGGTGCTTTCAGAGTAGGATGCGATCCCTGAGGAATCATGACCTAGATCAGTAAATTCAAGGAAGTGTTCAAGAAAAACATTTCATTGTTACTGTTGAATGTGCTTCAGATGCAATACATTTGTGATTTCATTATGATTTCTTGTGAAACCCTACTACCGTTTACTATTTTGTAACGGGGACACTGCAAACAAGCCAAATTTGGACACCCTTGTCAGTAGGACAGATTCTATTTTTTCTCCAGGAACAAAGTTTCTCAAAACTACGATGATGTTCAGGCACATTGAAAGTGTTTGTTCTATTCTAAAATCACCACTACCACAAATAAACAAGCGCAGACAACTATTAGTGCGCACTATTGCAGATTTGCTTTAATTGATCTGTAAACAATAGATTAATCTAGCCAATATTGCATAGTCGGACTTTGATCAATAGGCCTACACATTATTCCTATTTCATAATCAACAAAAAGATAAACTATGTGAACAAAAAAACAAACAGACAGATAAAATTATAGCAAAACCAAACGCGTAGGCCTATCTCTTCTGGGGAGAATTTTTGACAGAGCGAAGTGCCCGCTCATTGACTTCACCTATGTGTCAGCGGTGCGGATTATGATTGGTCACTTTATCAACTTTCTCAATTATGATTGGTCACTTTGCTTTGCGGTGTCGATTGTGATTGGACAAGCCGGTTTGCTCTGCGCCTTCCTCCTTCTCTCAACTCCTCCTCCCACACAAGTGGGCAAAATAACAACAAGTCCCAGTGGTTCACCACGCGATTTAGCTATTTAACTAGCTTAGGGTTGTTTTAATGAGAGCATTGACTGACAGGGTTTAGCTAGGCTAGAGTATAAAGGACTTGATGCATTTTTAAATAGCTTATGTGAATTTAGCGACATTACTTGCAACGACAAAAGTCACTTCTACCGTTATAGTTATCACATACAGTAAATTATCCAGAGGACAGCACGTAAATAGGCATAACGTTAACTAACAACATATTAGCAGTGTTCAGCTTTAACAGGACGTTTCTTGTGTAGCCGTTAATATCTGTGTGTGAACGTTGTATTATTGCCAGCGACCTTAGCCCCACTTGACAGAGCAGCGGACGGTCACCGGTATGTTTCCTTTAGACTCGCCGTGGAACATCTCGTTTGCAGGTTGTGGTTTCCTCGGGATATACCATGTTGGGGTCGCCAGCTGTCTGGTGGAACAAGCTCCCTTTCTGGTGCAAAACGCCAGGAACATATATGGGGCTTCGGCCGGAGCTCTAACCGCCACTACCCTGGTCACCGGAGTATGTCTTGGTACGTATATCTTCAGGGTATTTAACCATAAAGACTAAACTCAAAAATTAAATTTAATTAGAATTTGTTGTGAACTGCTTAAGTAGTCTACAAGTTCAAGTGTACTTTTTTTGAAGACATCTGAAGACATATCTGTCTAATAACCAGTGGTGAAGGAAGTTGCTCATTCATATTACACTGTGTAAACATACTCTGTTAGCCTACAAGTGAAATCAGAATCAAAATCAGGTTTATTGCCAGGCACATTTTCACAAAGGAGGATTTTGGTATATTACATATACATAAATCCAACATAATTAAAAACATACCAGCAAATTGTAAAGAATTGGCCCCTGTTACAGTGGTATAATGTTAATACTGTAGCTGCTATAGCAATTCATTATTACTTTTGTTGTATTAACATATAAGCAGATATTGTAGCATGACAAGGTTAAACTACATGCATGCATAGTTTAATCTTAAACAATTTAACTAAATTGATAAACTGAGCACTGAGTCGCGGCAGCTGTCAGACGAAGTAGTGGAGTAAAAGAACACTATGTCCTTCTGCATTGTAGGAGAGTAAAAGAATAAAGTAGCATAAACAAGTACCTCAAAACATAGTTATTTTTTTCCACCACTGATAGTTAAATAAATGACTGTCTGATGACTGGAAAACTATGGTATCCTGATCATAACCTTTTCAAAATGAATATGTGATACCAACTAAGATTACCTTACACAGGGGAAAAGTTTAAGGGAAGCAAGAATATCCTCATAATATCTTCCTGATTGTTCTATAACAGAATCCTTGTAGGCTATTCTATAATGTTTGCTTTTACAAACATTTTCAGTAACAATGTCTTAATTTCGTCACAGGAGAGACTGGAGCAAGTATCATCGATGTTGCCAAAGAGGCGAGAAAGCGGTTCCTCGGACCCATGCATCCTTCCTTTAACCTGGTGAAGATCATGCGTCACATGCTGGGGCGCACGCTGCCAGCTGATTGCCACCTTCGGGCCAACGGGCGTTTAGCAATCTCTCTTACTCGAGTGACAGATGGAGAAAATGTCCTGGTATCGCACTTCAACACCAAGGAGGAGGTGGTGCAGGTGTGCATTCACTATATTCTTCTCAATATTTTGCAGTAGAGGTGGTTTATATTATTTAAATCAGATGTTGGGATACAGTTGAATTAACACCTCAATACTGATGGGTGCTTTCAGACCCACTTACATGTTGACAATTGGCAATGTGGATGTTGATTTTTGAGTTTTGATCAATTGATCAATTAAGTCAATTTTCAAGAGAAAATGGCAAACTTTCTCTGGTTGCACCTCCTCAAATGTAAGGATTGGCTGCTTTTCTCTGTTTTATAAAACTGAATATCTTTTTTATGTTGGATTGCTGGTCGGAGCTCTTGGCTCGGAAAACAAGACAATGATGCAGAATGTAAAATGTAATTTAACTATAACGTGTCTTTTAAGAGCATTTAAGTTACTTTATGACATTACAATAACAAGTATTATGAAGTTTTATGCTGTAATAACAACTGTAATATTACAGTTTCTTTTCCACAGAATTTTTAGTGTTGTCTGAGTTAATTTCACATCCAACAATTTGTCAAAGAAGACAAATTTCTTATGTTGTGTTTCACATGTTTCTTATTTTATCTCTTTTGTTAACTAGGCATGCGTCTGCAGTGCCTACATCCCAGTGTATTGTGGCCTCATTCCTCCCATGCTGCAAGGAGTGGTGAGTATTCAATATTATTCAGCATGTGTGTCTTCATGTTGTCGCTATCCTATATTTGGTCTATGGATAAGGAATGTTTTTATAATTTTTATGGACTTGGTCTTCCTTGCTGCTTTGCTTGAACCATGTACTGTATTTCCTCTCATTGTCTTTTGTAGTTGTTGCTTTTGGCACTTTTTTTTTTCAATTTCAAGGGGCTTTATTGGCATGGGAAAGAGACATTTTTACATTGCCAAAGCAAGTGTGAAATAAAAACAACAAAAAGATTGAGTTTGCTGTCTTTATATTAACAACATTAGAAAACATTCCCCCTCTCAACCTCCTTGGGTGGTATGCTCGGGTCCTCTACCAGAGGCATGAAAGTTTGAGGGTTCTGCGCAGCATCTTAGCTGTTCCTAGGACTGCACTCTTCTGGACAGAGACCTCTGATGTTGTATCTGGAATCTGCTGTAGCCCATCTCCCAGTTTGGGGGTCACGGCCCCCAGTGCTCCAATTACCACTGGCACCACTGTTGCTTTTACACTCCACATCTTTTCTAGCTTGGTATTTTTCAAGCTACTTGTGTTCCTTCTTCTTGATGTTGCTGTCGCTTGGGATTGCCACATCTATCACTGTAGCCTTCTTCTGCTGTTTGTCGATCAACACAATGTCTGGTTGGTCAG